TTGGTTTACGGTACATATCTATGATGAACCTACCTGAGTTATCGTCAGCAAGAACATCGAGGAATGGAATCCTGCCTCCTTCACTTTTCTCAGCAGTCAACTTCAAGCCTGAGAATTCTTGTAGCTTGCCACAAAGCCTCTCCAATGTGTTCTCATTGTGAATATATACAAATATATCGTTGATATATCTGCAGTAGCTACTAGGGTTCCGCTCTTCCCTCTGCATGATGGATGACTCAACATGAGACATGAATGCCTGGGTGAACAAGACCCCCAATGGGGACCCCATTGTCACATCATCAACCTGCAAGTAGAGCTTGACCCTCTGGGCACAGGAAAGGAGCTTCAGTGGTACAAGCCTTCAGCATAACCCATAAAATAGTATGAACGCCCTCATTGATGCAGTGAACACGGAGATTTGAGGTAAAAAATTTGAAAGAGTAACAGGTGATTTTGGACCAGGTTACTTCTGTTGTAATGTGAAGATGCACAAGTCTGGCTACCTACTTAGGCCTATAATTTTGCAGATCCCCACACCTAATTATAAACTTGTGGAAAGATTGAATGCAATAATATCGGCGTACATCCAGACCACATTCTTTCTTAAATCTATCAACGAATTTATTGACGTTCTGAAAATGAGAGAACCCTGTGGGATCAAAGCTCCTCTTGATGTTGAAAGTCTATTCACTAACGTTCCAGTGGAAAGGACCATAAACATAATATTGGACTGTGTGTGTATCAACAAGTGCACCTCCCTCCACTCAACGTACCTCAAACTGTCTTACAAAATAGGCTGAAGGATGGATAGATAGATAGATATATATATATATATATGTCGTACCTAGTAGCCAGAACGCACTTCTCGGCCTATTATACAAGGCCCGATTTGCCTAATAAGCCAAGTTTTCCTGAATTAATATATTTTCTCTAATTTTTTTCTTATGAAATGATAAAGCTACTCATTTCATTATGTATGAGGTCAATTTTTTTTATTGGAGTTAAAATTAACGTAGATATATGACCAAACCTAACCAACCCTACCTAACCTAACCTATCTTTATAGGTTAGGTTAGGTAGCCAAAAAAGTTAGGTTAGGTTAGGTTAGGTAGGTTAGGTAGTCGAAAAACAATTAATTCATTAAAACTTGGCTTATTAGGCAAATTGGGCCTTGCAAAGTAGTCTGAGAAGTGCGTTCTGGCTACTAGGTACGACATATATATATATATATATATATATATATATATATATATATATATATATATGTCGTACCTAATAGCCAGAACGCACTTCTCAGCCTACTATTCAAGGCCCGATTTGCCTAATAAGCCAAGTTTTCATGAATTAATGTTTTTTCGTCTACCTAACCTACCTAACCTAACCTAACCTAGCTTTTTTTGGCTACCTAACCTAACCTTACCTATAAATATAGGTTAGGTTAGGTTAGGTAGGGTTGGTTAGGTTCGGTCATATATCTACGTTAATTTTAACTCCAATAAAACAAAATTGACCTCATACGTAATGAAATGGGTTGCTTTATCATTTCATAAGAAAAAAATTATAGTAAATATATTAATTCAGGAAAACTTGGCTTATTAGGCAAATCGGGCCTTGAATAGTAGGCTGAGAAGTGAGTTCTGGCTACTAGGTACGACATATATATATATATATATATATATATATATATATATATATATAAATATATATAAAATATGTGAACAAGCTTGAATGGGTCCCAAGCCAATATGCAATTGAAAAATCCACACCCCAGAAGGATTCGAACCCCAGACAGCCAGGAGCACTATGCACCTTGGCGTACCTGGTACCTTAACCACTAGACCACACGACTTGTGGGGTTGACCATGCGTCTGTGGGGTTGACTCTGGATGTAATGGACTTGAGCCGAGGATGGGTTGCGTGTGTAAATCATTTTTCATTCATAAACAGAGGGTTCAGCAGGTGCATGGAATCACTTTTGGATCTTTGTTTGGAAGATGGGCTGTTTTACATTGTGTCCTCAGTGGGCAACCCACCCTCGACTCAAGTCCATTACATCCAGCGTTCGATGCCACAGATACATTCATAAATTTGTACATGCTGTTCATTCAAAATGGGAATTTTCTATAATATAAAGTAATATTATAATATATTAGCATATTGTGCATATATAGGCATAGGTTAGGTTAGGTTAGGTGTTTAGGTTCTGTTGGCGATTATTTGTATTTGTAGTACGTGGGTGAAGCATTTATAGCATTGTGGTTTGAACAAAATATTTCTTAGTAAAGCACTTGTTCCAGAAGTGTTCGAACGAAATCAGTTGAGTCGTGTGTAAACCGTTTTTCATTCATGAACAGGGGGTTTGGCAGGTATATGGAATCACTTTTGGGTTTTTGTTTGGAGGACGGGCTGCAGTGGGTGAAGCATTTACAGAGTAACGATTTGAGCAGAGGTTGTCAGCGAAGCACTATTCGAGATATGTTCGAACGTTATCAGTAGTGAGCGAGTTTTGTCTAAATTGTTTTTTTATTCATGAATATTGGGTTTGGTAGCTGGATTAAGGAGCATTTGGCCATTATTGATGAGGATGAGCTGAGGTTTTAACTCTTATGTTGTGGTCTGCATGCATGAGATCGTCTGTGGTTTCCAGGAAGCTTGAATTGTGTCTGTGAGCACTTAAACAGGGGGGGCAACTAGATATCAATTGAACAGGTGTTGAGTTGCTCCTCTGACCATCAGAGGTCACTGAAGACACATACACAGTGGTCAACAAACTTTGGAGACAATTATTGCTCACCTAACCTCAGAAAAAGGTAACTTGTCTCCCTCTTACATCTTGACTTCCTACTGCCCCAGCACATTCTAGACATATTTATGCAATATAATTGGTGATAGTTATTTTTGATGACACTAGGTTTCCCTGAATGAACTTGTAGATACAATGGATGATATAAGGAGTCAATTGCAGCAAATACATTCTTCGCGATGGAAGAGGAAGAGGCTTCTTGAGAACTAGCAAGGCAGTGTGAGATGCTGTTATGCAAGCTTCCAAACCAAATATATGGAATCTAAATTATCTTGTAATCTACAAATGTTTTTTTGTATATAAGAATATAGCAACAATTTTATTTTCTAAATACTATTTTTGGAGCAAGTTTGGCAAACAAATTTGTACCCTACTTCCCTGTAATCTCTGTTTATCAACACCTGTCTTGGATAAAATTTTGTATGGAATCTCTTACTCCTGTTATGAAACCACAGTAAAGGATTCAAAATTCGTTTATCACCTCCCCGCGTCCACAATTACTGTGCCTAATTTTTTGTTGAGATCATGTTATAATTTGCATTTTTAAAAGAAATTCTTTTATAGTGTTTTCCATATTTTGCATTATTCCTTTTTATTGCTACTCTACTTCTCTCTTGGGATAATACCTCTAGATCTACCATGGTCACGCTACATTAACGACAATTGTTTTCATATTTTTTCTTGAACTTTCCATCTTTTTGTATACATTTTCAGAAGAACTAATTATTTAAATTTTCTGTACAAAATGTACACCAAATGTTGCCAACTGAGAAATGCTTTAGCATAGGGGGTTAAAAACATTCTCACATATAAAAGTCAGTTATCTGCTGCTGATATTATTCTATATATGTTCTCTTCTTGCACCAAGTTTAGAGTATGACTTACTCCATAGCCTTTTTTTTTTTTTTTTTTTTACTTTACTGGAAGCTAACTGTTGGTGTTAGAGCTGTGACATACAGCACATCTATTGTCACTTCCCTTATGTAATGTCATGTGGTTTATTTTAGCCAACTTAGAGGCATTCCAATGGTGCTCTCACATCTGGTTGATTAGGGGGACAAACACACTTGGCTGATGGTGCGAAAGAGTATTCTTGCCTTTTGTGCTCTGTACTGAACCCCTAAGCCATTGTCTTTAGTGACCCGCCTGAAGGGCTGAATGGATGATCTCAAGATGGTCAGCAGTACTCCAGGCTCTCTTGCGAGCAGTACTTTTCAACAAAAAGAAGTTGAGGCAGCTGGAAGTGTGCTCTTGTCATGTGACTGTAAAGGCGACTCTTGTGTAAACGTTCGGTGACACAGTCTCGTCATTCTTTTCATTCAGCAACAAGTCAATGAAGATTTCATGACCTCATTTCTGTCTTTGCTTGCCAGTTTGGCACATGTACCGTAAAATGTGAGTTCAGACATTGTCTAGCTGCTCGAGTATACAGAGTGCAAGTACAGTACTCTATATCTGTTTTGTGGAGATATTTGGACAGCACTATTTGGCAAGGATGACTCGCTAGTGGCACCACCCATCCACTTAACACCACGGAGAAGTGGCCTTGACATCACAACTAGTCAACAGCTAAAGAACTGCGCTGCAAAATATAACTATGAGAACTCATATCATGCAAGTCTGGAATGCGCAAGTGAAATGTCAACAGTCTTGCAGCTATATTTAAGTAATCAAAGTGAGAATTGTGTTCATTTATTGAATTATTATATGATGAGGTGATGTGTGTCATTATCATAAATTATTTTTGGTTGATGTGAAGATTTGTTAAGTGATAACATTATATGTTGTTATAGAATATATTCTATATCCTCAGAAGAGGGCCTAAGTGACAGGCACATGTGTGACTTGGTGACATATCACACAACCTCAAGTTGGGGAAGGCATTAGTGTTTTGATTGAATAATTATTGATACATGTAATTGTTTTATTATCTTTTAGTGTTTATTAAACATTCAAGTAAATTATTTATGTACATGTTAATACTTGTGAAACTGGCAATATATTTATTCTAACTTGTTATTATTATTATCTGTTATTGTGAATAATATAATCAATATTATTAACAATAATAGATAATATTATTAACAAGTTAAAATAAATATAGTGTTAGTCTGATGAATAATAAGATATACAGTACATAAATTAATAATTGGATGCTTAATAAAAGCTGAAGCAATATATATATATATATATATATATATATATATATATATATATATATATATATATATATATATATATATATATTGTTAATGTAGTCGAGAGCTAAAAATAATCAGTACAAAAGGAATAATATGCACTAGCTTTTGATATTCTCTTTTTGTACAGCGATCAACGCTGAGAACATCCAACATATTCCTAACATCAGCAAACATTCATGTTTACTGCACTGCACTAAACAAAACATTTCCCGTCACCCAAAATGTGGTTATTTTTGGCAATGTTACGACTCCATATCAGAGGCAGTCTCCTGGGAGTCGGGGAAGCAGAGAATGGGTACAGGGGTCGGAGGAAGGTCCGGGTGCATGTTAGGGGGGATCTGTGGCAGGGCGGGTGAGTGCACACGCCGGGGCACCTGGATCAGAGGCGAGGCTGCTGACGACACGGTCTGGATCCCTGTGGAGGCGGCGGCACTCATATTAGTGGTGTGAGTGACGGCCAGAGCCGAAGTGGTGGAAGTGATTACTACTGCAGCCCCGCTGCTCTGCAGGGAGAGAGACTCGGGAGGGTGAGGTCTGGCGGCAGGTTTGAGGTGCAGAGCGGCATTTGGGGTGAGTCCCAGCTCGGCCATTGTTGCTTCACCTTGATCTAACACCTGTAATACATGCAATTATGTTAAAGATTAAGTACTAAGGTTGGTCAAGCATTACACATAATATTACTGTGCTTGTAAGCCTCAATCTTATATTAATAGGAGGCAAACCAGAGCCATTTCTTCTCTTGGTGTTTCTTCTCTCTATGACTACCTAATAGCTTTCTAAACTTTGCTTTGTTCTATGCCATCGATGACAGAAGGTTCCACTCCTTGTGCAAGTCTGTACCAGCTCTTAAACATGACTAGTTTCCTAATGAAACAAAAGCACAAATGAATGGATTAAAGCAACTAGTCTTAACATATTATACTCTATATCATTATATTATATACACCTTAAATACATAAACAATTATATATATACAGTATACAATAAATTTTATATATATATATATATATATATATATATATATATATATATATATATATATATATATATATATATATATATATATATATATATATATATATATATATATATATATATATATATATATATATATATATATATATATATATATATATATATATATATATATATATATATATATTTATATATATATATATATTATATATATATATTGTGACGATAATCTCCTTCAAGAGATTGAGCCTGCTCTTCCCTCTACAAATACGTCGCAACATACTATATATAACTACTATGGAAGAAATGTCCAACAACGACAACAACACCAGCAAGGTTTGCCAGAGCGCAAAACGTTGCAGCCAGGGACACCTGTTCGGACTCAAACCGCCAAACTACCTGTTGATCGCTACCGGCTCCGCTGATTGGTCGCCGGCCTGGCTGCACCTGCACTCGCCCCCCCATACTACTTGATGTCTGGGGTCGCCACAACCTCAGACCTCAGAATATTCTGTGCTTTCGCAGCTATCACTCCTCCCGGCTAGACGGTAGCGTGTACTGAGAGAGGTGGTAGCTTAAAGCCAATATTCCAGCACCTCCCTTTAATTTGTGTTGCACTTCTTGTTATTTTATCTTAACGTAACTTTTCATTGTGTCATTTAATTATTCTTATTATTTTGATTGATTGATTTTATTATAAGAATTTGTTTGTCCATTTTTTCATGTTTTGATTTATTTAACGTAATTAAAATTTCATTGTTAAAATTTACTTGTTTTGTGTGTCTTCTCCTTACCTTACCACAGACGAAGTTCCAGTTTTTCTATTTTTTTTATAACTATGTGACGAGGCCATACCCCTAGCCTTAAACAGCCGAACACCAACGCGTTACCGTCACAATATATATTTATATATATATATATATTATATATATATATATATATTTATATAATATATTATATATATATATATATATATATATATATATATATATATTTATATATATATATATATATATATATATATATTTATATATATATATATTTATATATATATTATATATATATATATATATATATATATATATATATTTATATATATATATATATATATATATATATATATATATATATTTATATATATATTTATATATATATATATATATATATATATATATATATATATATTTATATATATATTTATATATTTATATATATATATGTCGTACCTAGTAGCCAGAACTCACTTCTCAGCCTACTATTCAAGGCCCGATTTGCCTAATAAGCCAAGTTTTCCTGAATTAATATATTTACTATAATTTTTTTCTTATGAAATGATAAAGCAACCCTTTTCTCTATGTATGAGGTAAATTTTTTTTTATTGGAGTTAAAATTAACGTAGTTATATGACCGAACCTAACCAACCCTACCTAACCTAACCTAACCTATATTTATAGGTAAGGTTAGGTTAGGTAGCCAAAAAAAGCTAGGTTAGGTTAGGTTAGGTAGGTTAGGTAGACGAAAAAACATTAATTCATGAAAACTTGGCTTATTAGGCAAATCGGGCCTTGAATAGTAGGCTGAGAAGTGCGTTCTGGCTATTAGGTACGACATATATTTATATATATATATATATATATATATATATATATATATATATATATATATATATATATATATATATATATATTTATATATATATATTTATATATATATATTTATATATATATATTTATATATATTTATATTATATATATATATATATATATATATATATATATATATATATATATATATATATTTATATTTATATATATATATATATATATATATATATATATATATATATATATATATTGTGACGATAATCTCTTTCAAGAGAGATTGAGCCTGCACTTCCATACATAATTACGTCAAAATACAAGATACGTTCACCAAGTATCGCCAAACGTTTTGCCCAGAGAGCAAATCGTACCCAGCACACCTGGCCACCGCCGTAACCAGCTAACTGCTCATCCTCTGCCTGCCTGTTGCTGATTGGCTGGTGTCTCGTCGCCCCTGCCCTCCGCCACCACCACAAGTCGACGTCTGGGCTGCAGTGCGCCAGTCTCGTCAGAATATCTCAGTGCTCCATGCAGTTGACATCTCTCGCTGGTAGACTAAGCCTTGGCTTTCGTGTACTAAGGGAGGTGGCAGCTCGAAGCCAGGATTCCAGTACTCATATTTTATTTTGCTATCACTGTAACTTGTCTTAGCATAACTTTTCATTTGCCAGTGATTATTCATGTTATTTTGTTTGTTGACTTGTCCTGCATATTTTTATGAGATTACCTTTATTCATGTCTTGTTTTCTAGAGTAATTAAAATTTCATTGTTTATATACTTGTGTTTTGTGTGTCTTCCCATTACCTTACCACAGACGAAAGGACCAACTTTTCTCTGTTTTTTTTTGTCATGTGACGAGGCCCTGCCCCTAGCTTTTGAAACAGCCGAACACCAACGCTTTACCGTCACAATATATATATATATATATATATATATATATCGTACCTAATAGCCAGAACGCACTTCTCTGCCTACTATGCAAGGCCCGATTTGCCTAATAAGCCAAGTTTTCATTAATTAATTGTTTTTCGACTACCTAACCTACCTAACCAAACCTAACCTAACTTTTTCGGCTACCTAACCTACCTAACAAAACCTAACCTAACTTTTTCGGCTACCTAACCTAATCTAACCTAAAAAGATAGGTTAGGTTAGGTTAGGTAGGGTTGGTTAGGTTTGGTCATATATCTACGTTAATTTTAACTCCAATAAAAAAATATTGACCTCATACATAATGAAATGGGTAGCTTTATCATTTCATAAGAAAAAAAATTGAGAAAATATAATAATTCAGGAAAACTTGGCTTATTAGGCAAATCGGGCCTTGCATAGTAGGCTGAGAAGTGAGTTCTGGCTACTAGGTACGACATATATATATATATATATATATATATATATATATATATATATATATATATATATATATATATATATATATATATATTAGATTAGTTAGTTTAGTTACTAACTATATATTTAGTTATAAAATTATAACTATCTGGAAGAATCTATGACTATGAATGTAATGTACACACTTTGTTCAGTGTATAGGGGGAGGGCTTACTTTGTTCAGTGTATATGGGGGGGGGCTTACTTTGTTCAGTGTATATGGGGAAGGGGCTTACAGTGTATATGGGGGGGGGCTTACTTTGTTCAGTGTATATGGGTGGGCTTACTTTGTTCAGTGTATATGGGTGGGCTTACTTTGTTCAGTGTATATGGGGGGCTTACTTTGTTCAGTGTATATGGGGGGGGGGCTTACTTTGTAGGGGTAAGTTTTAACGATGTCGAATTCCTCGTGGTCTCCCCGGTAGGACCTGAGGTAGGAGCGTAGAGTACTGAGGGTGTCGGAGGCCTTCAGCTTGATAAGGTACGTCTCTGTCCCTGAAGAGAGGATCACGATGGGCAACAAGATGGCAGTATCAGACTCTTGTGCTAAGAACTAGCAACGTTTGTATGCAGGTATTATAAGAAGAAGAGTTAGCATTATCAAATAGAATATTAAACACCCAGAGGGTTCATTATTTCAGTAAATAGTTATTGTGTTTTTTAATGGTAATAAAGCCCAAGCAAAACAATAGCGCTCCTAAACACAATCCTGATTGATATTCAGTGTTTCTCAGAGCAGTGCCACTTTATTTTAAAGGTAAATTTACATGCTTTACAAATAAATGGTTTCTGTCTCCCCCCACACACAACTTACCGTTCTCCACTTTGATTCTGAGAGTGGTCCTGGAGTGTGTGTGGTCGTGGTGGCTGGTGGTTGTGGAGGCCGGGGGAGGCCGGAGGAGGTCACTGTCATTACCCTGGTTGTCGACTAGTGTGTCCTGGTCATTGCTCTCCTGACTCTCCCCAACCTCATCTAGTGCTGGTGTGTGGACTAGCGTCAGAGAATTCTTGCGAGACGGTCCCTGGGAAGAGAGTGTATGGTGTTCACAGGAGTCTGGGCAATTGCTAGCAATGGTCAGCGGAGCCCGGGCAGATGCTAGCACCGGTCAGAGGAACCTGGGTATATGCTAGCATCAGTCAGAGGAGCCTGGGGTAGTTGCTAGCACTGGTCAAAGAAACCTGGGAATTTGCTAGCACCAGTCAGAGGAGCCCGGGCAGGTGTTAGTCTGTCCGGGCTAACAGACTCATTATACTTAGTCATAGTCAGACTCATGACTAAGTATAATGACTAAGTATGATGACTAATAGTCAGACTCATTATACTTAATTTCTCATTGATGGAGACAAAAGGCTGTTAAACTGTTGAAGTCTCCGTAGCTGACTGACCTACAAAACACGTGTATAGTCTAGTGATAGGCTGAAGGACTCTATTAACTGCAGGAAGGTTATTCTGGCCACATCACTATAGCTTGCTGTCTTTAGTCCTGAACATGGTCCATGACGAAAGTAAACTCTCAGTATTTGTGCACAGAAACTGAGCACATCTCTCATTGTATATATTCCTTGTGTATGTGTGCTTAGTAGGAGAAAAACCATTTTAAATACTGGGTTACGCATGAGTATATGAACAAATACTCAACGTATGGTAAGGTCAGCCTTGAGCATTAGTGAAAAGTCTTAGCCTTCAATTAATATTCAAATTGAGAAAGTCAAGTGCAGGTAATTGGATTAATATAATTTTCATAGGTATTTTTAATTGTTTTGAAAATAGTGAGCGACAAAGATGAAGACAAATCAGCAGAGACCTGATTATAAGATTAATGTCGCATTAATGGGAAAGTCGCACGACGGTAAATCCTATACTGACGGAGCTTAGATACACGTCTAGACAGTGTTTGCACCCCTGAAGAGGTTGTTGGTGGACAGTGGCACTTTTTGGATAAATTTCATATGTTCGTCAATGGATGTTTTATTATATATTGAAGTTGATAATTTGGTCACTCACCATGAGCATGTCGGCCACTTCTTCCCTCAAGTTGACGAGCTTGCCATTCTTAACGACACAGGTGGGAACCTTGGCCAGGAAGTCTTCCACCGATGTACGTCTCTTCCTGAGGCTGTCCATGTCATACGGGTCAGTACCCATCACGCCTACACTGCCGCGCCGCATATGATTGCCATTGGAGTCAAAAGTGTCATCGTTGAGGAGAAAAGCGGTTCGGTTGATGCGGTTCCATTCAAGAGGGTGTTTGGAGGTAGCTCGACGGCCGAGGTCGAGGTCAAGCGTCGTTCTGACTAATTCGCTGCTACGGCGGCACTCTGAACCCCGACGACACTGGTGCGTCCGGTGGTCAGAGCCACGGCGAGACTCACTTTCTCTGCGACTGTCGCGCCTCACGGCAGTTACAGCAGGCACAGGAGGAACTTCTGCAAGTCGCCATAGTTCACTCTCCCTGCGCCCGCCCTCTCCTCTCCCGATGCCCTCACCCTCAGACTTGTCACTACCCCGTTGTAGGGAGTTGCGACGACTGCTAACATCGCTTGACTCGCTGCGATAGTCCATCTCCGGGCAGAGGCGCGAAGTATCTCCCACAGTCTCCGGCACAGGCGCGGTAGGAGGTGCACTGTCGCTAGTCTCTGCTGAGATAGGTTGATCCACTGGTCGTGCTTCCGCCTCCGACACGCTGCTGAACAACATAGAAGTAACAGAGGTCAGAGAGGATGCCGTTGGTATTGAGTCAATGGTGGGGATTCTTGGCTTGGGAGGCACTGGGGGACGAATCGCTCCCTTGCGTCGAGAAGAGTTGGGCAGAAATATTACTTGTCGCTTGTCACGAACCTAGAAAAGAAGACTTGAAGTGAGATGATTTGGCAAAGAATATATTTACAAATAAATTTACATGTAAAAAATTTTTTTGTGTAGACACAACTAATTTTGAGCTTTGAATTTTATAGTATAATTTAGGCATGTAAGATAGAAACATTTTATGTAGATTACTGAGACCAGTATTAGCAGATTGAATTTGCAGAAATTTATACAGTTGCAATCATATCATACTTAGCATATTTATTGTGACATCTTACTTTGAAAATTACAGTAACAACAAACATGGTATTTCACGCTTTATCATATACAGTATTATTTTTTTTAACTATGAAGACTAACAGCATCACTTCCCAAGTAAGTCGTGGTCCATTGGTCATAGTACTGGACTTGCTAGTGCGTTGGGAGCGCCAGGCAACGTTATGTGGCATGAGACTTACCTTAATGGGGATACCTTGAGGGTAGACGTCCTGGAGTTCACTGGGAAAGAAGCCATCGAGAATGTCTTGCAAGAACTGGCGAGTCTTGACCGCCTCAAAGCTGCGAAAGCCTCCATCATCAGCCACAATGCCGTTCTTGTACAATGTTAGCTGAAGACTTTCTCCAGCCTGGCCATAAGACTTTGATAATTAATATTGCTTAGTCTAATTAAATGAAACATTTAAGACTAAAATGATTTACTTCTAAAATGTGTACCTGAATAATAAACAAATTATTTATATGTTAATGATCATCTTGAGTGTGTGTGTGTGTGTGTGTAATTACCTAAGTGTAGTTACAGGAAGAGAGCTTCGCTCAGGGCGTCCCGTCTTCCCAGTACTCTTTGTCATATAGCGCCTTGAAACTACCAACGGTTTTAGCCTCTACCACCTTCTCATTTAACGTGTTCTATCCATCTACCACTCTGTAAAAGAAAACTTTCAAATATTTTTGGTACCTCTGTTTTCTTAGCTTGAAACTAAGAACTCTTGTTTTTGACGTTGCCTGTTTTAAGAATTCATCTTTGTCAATTTTGTTGATTCTTGTAACTATTTTGTTTTTAGTGATCATATTGCCTCTTTTTTTTCTTCCATCTTATAATTGGCATACTTAATGCCTCTAGCCTATCTTCTTAGCTTTTATTTTTCAGTTCCGGAAGGTATTTTGTAGCATGCCTTTGCACTTTTTCAAACTTAGTAAACTTTGCAAACTTTGCTTCAAATGTATCTACCTGGTAAGTCTGTGCTTCCCTTTGCTACCTGGGAAATGTTTGGATGACTATCAGGTGAGAAGATATAGATTGTCAACACTGAAAGAGTTAACAGGAGAGAAAGCTGTGTTTGACTATTCTTAAATTGATGCAATACGTATGATGAATGAAAATGATGTAATTTGCGTAGAGATCGGTGAAGCAAACAAAGCCTTAATCATGAGGCGTGCTTGTAGGCAGCCAAATATTGACAGCTGAGATAAAACATTTGGGAAAAATAATGAAAACTGCAAGAAATTTTAACGTTGGCCTAGTAGGAGACTTAAAATTTTGATAGAGGAGCCCTTGGCAGACATTTTGGCTCAAATCCATGACAATTTGTTACAGAGCCCACCTGAAATTATTTGTCTATATTTAGTCCTAATTTCCAGGGGAAGCGCCTTGAGGCACCATGAAGCTGTTACCAATGATTCAGTGCCAGAATACTAGGTGACGTCAGTCACAGAGTTCTGTTATCCTACTGGGAACCACGAGCCAGAAACTGGCCCCTTAAAAGAGGCGCGAGAAGCGATGGCCTATGAACACTTAACATTTAAAGATAATCATAATTGCCACAACCAGGTATGACGGTGCTCCGTCTTACATCTTTCCTAATCCGGCGTAAAGAGTCATATCTCTGCAACCTGCACGTTCTCTGATGCTCAGGGAGCATTTTGGTATATATAAAGGTAAACAGAGTTATCGTGTGGGCGATGAATTTACTGTTTTAGTTTTGGCTCTACAGGTGGCTTACGCCCTTTTGTATTTGCAAGATAGCGTCGAGGCGATGCCATCTTGCCATTCAGTCACGTAACCTTACCTGGCCAATCACCAGACTGCTGGTGATTGGCCAGGTAAGGTTACGTGACTGAAATGACTAGTGGCGCGGCGCCCCAGGGGGGGGGGGGGGAGGGTGTGTGACGTCACAGGGCGGAGGGCGGTCCAGAGCCCTGGGGCGCTCAGAGTGTCACCGCTTGTCATTGAGTATGGAGGTGCACAAAGTGAGCTCTCAATTTGGAGGCCAAGAAGCCTCAGCCAGTGGACCTAAGCAGCTGCATTAGTACTACAGACGTCGAGGAAGATTAGTTGACTCCTGGAGAATATGTGGAAGCAGGGCTTAGTTGGTGTGAGAGCGCCAAGAGCTCTTTTGCTGTTAGTCTACGACGGAGGTGAATGTCGGCGCTGGGAGGGTCGTATGTGGCGCCTTGCGGGTCGCGTTGACACGTCAAGCGAGCTGCTGCGACTGGTCAAGTCCACTGGAAGGATGAGAAGGGTGACACTGAACCAGACTGTAAGGTTGTCCACAGTTCTAGTGTTCGAGAAGGAAAACGACGTGCATAGTCCCCTGCCTTCAGTGCCAAGGAGGAGGGCCTGCCTTTCGGGAATGAGCGCGGCGAGGACAAACAGCTACGAGTGGTGTGTGCCGGACCTTGATCAACGGAGGACCGACCATGGGGACAGAGGACCTCAACTATCATCGCTAGAGGACATGTCGAATTTGTGGCAGAAAGAATTAAGGTAGATAAATTCCCTCCCATTACCCCTTGATTTAGGCGAGCTAGAATATCATTTATGCTATGTGATCATTATTATTATTATTATTATCAGAGGTAGGATCAGGCTGCTAGTAAACTTATCATTATTTTTACCACATGGTACTCAGTCGTGTGGACGATCTAGGTGAGAGGTGAGATTCATCTGGTTACAGTTTATCGCCGAGCAAGCAACGGCTGAGACGTTACTGTGTTGGTCTCAGAGACGTCTGAGGGAAGGTCTTGCTTCCTCACTCCCCATGGGTGCAAGCCCGTGTCACGTGCAGTGACTCAACCCATGGAACGACTGAAGGCTCCATGGGTGGGCAGTGGCACCCAACTCATAGGGAAGTGAAAATCCGTAGGGGGCGGCGACGTTGTGGACCGCCGTGAGACGAGATCCCCCCCCCCCCCCCCCCCACAACCATACAGGGAAGCACCCAGATAGTTATACGAAACAAAACAGACCACTGCATGGTTAAAACAAGACCGCAGCCTCAACAAACATAAAAATAATAATAAAATAAATGCTAAAAGAACTCCCCCGCAACAATAAAAACAATCCACCAAAATGTTGTGAAACTACACCGAGTTAGTTTGCCCCGCCTTTCCCCTTCCCCTTTGGAGAGCAGGGAGGCTGGACGGGTCAGCCAGCCCGCACCTCCCATCAGCCGGCCCGTACCACCGCTCAGCCGGCCCGCACCTCCACTCAGCCGGCCTGCACCACCCCTCAGCACCCAAAGAAGGGAGGGTGTGAAGGGGGGCCAGCGGGGCTCGTCGAGAAATTTGCGTTTCATTACATTCAACGCTGTTGTTTTCAAAGGAAATACATAGAGAATATCTAAATAGGTGAAACACTTAGTAACAATCACAATAAATCAAATTTATAATTAAATGGACAAAAATATGAGAAAAAAATGCCATTAGAGTCGTAGATTGCTTTTGTGGGCTGACAACACCCACCTTGACCATTGTTATTCAAAACATTATCAGACCAGGCGGTGAAAAGGCAAGAATATAGGCTGATAAGAACCAGCTGAGAAGACGAGGAGAAAGGGGTCTGATAAATACAAGGTGAGGGGCAGTGAAGGGTTAAGAGAGCCAGGTGAGGGCTAGCCGCATGCCAGGTGAAGGTTAGGTGGATGCCATGTGAAGGCTAGGTGGATGCCAGGTGAGGGCTAGGTGGATGTCAGGTGAGGGCTAGGTGGATGTCAGGTGAGGGCTAGGTGGATGTCAGGTGAGGGCTAGGTGGATGCCAGGTGAGGGCTAGGTGGATGCCAGGTGAGGGTTAGGTGGATGCCAGGTGAGGGCTAGGTGGATGCCAGGTGAGGGCTAGGTGGATGCCAGGTGAGGGCTAGGTGGATGCCAGGTGAGGGCTAGGTGGATGCCAGGTGAGGGTTAGGTGGATGCCAGGTGAGGGCTAGGTGGATGCCAAGTGAGGGCTAGGTGGATGCCAGGCAAGGGCTAGGTGGATGCCAGGTGAGGGCTAGGTGGATGCCAGGTGAGGGTTAGGTGGATGCCAAGTGAGGGCTAGGTGGATGCCAAGTGAGGGCTAGGTGGATGCCAGGCGAGGGCTAGGTGGATGCCAGGTGAGGGCTAGGTGGATGCCAGGTGAGGGTTAGGTGGATGCCAGGTGAGGGTTAGGTGGATGCCAGATGACGGTTAGGTGGATGCCAGGTTGGAGGGCCAGGTGAGAGGACCAACTTATGCCAGGTGAGAGGGCCAGGTGAAGCCAGGCGGGAGGGAGACGTCACCTCTGCAGCAGCGTCGCCCTGGGCCATAATGTTGAGCTCAGTGATGGCTGCCAGCAGCTTCTCGTAGTCCAAGCTGAACGGTTCAGCCTCAGACGAGATGCTCCTGGAGGTGGACTCCGCCACCACGCGCCGCACCTCTCGGTTCTTGTGGTTCCTGTAGGAGGGAGAACCATGGTGAACCTCCCTACCACTATCCCCGACATATTACAGAGAGTAAAGTACCCGCTGTGATGTGAGGGCAGGACTCTGGCGGTGGTCAGGTCGCCGCTGCCTTCACCACCAAACCCTAGACTGTGTCTCGTTGTGACAATTATGTCATAAAACATGACTTCAGTGGAAATAGTCAAGAAGCTTTCCTTCTCTCGTGTAAGCCTCAACTAAAGTACAGTGCTCTGGTGCACTGGGTGTCCTGTTCACCATCTAGGGTGACTGGGGGTCTTAGTGCACTGGGTATTCTAGTGAACATGACTGTTCTTTATCTTACCAGAGAGTGCTCACTGGTGCACCGCTCTGGATTTCCAGGCCGGGAGATGACCTTACCTCCTGTGGCGTTTGATCTTGACGCGCGGGTGATTTCTAGGGGTGTGGGACGGCGTCTGGGTGGGCGAGGTGGCCTCGGACGACGAGTAGCTGCAGGAGGCGTTGACGGGGTTGTCCAGGAGGTAGGTCTCCTCGGCTTCACACCACACCATTCCGTACTCTCCCAGGAAGCGCTGGTAAGGGGAAAGAGCGTGGCGTTAGTTGGCAGCTCAACTCACTGGTGCACCAGTGGCATTATCACATATTGGCAGACATATTATCACAGACGCGCACATATCGGTCAAATATATATCTTCACAGGAACACACACATGGCTGATGCACTGTCACAGGAACACAGGTTGTGATAACTCAAATTACTTCCTGGTGCCGGGAAGAAATGACTTTTGTGTATAGCAAGAGGAGACACAGGCAGCAGTCACTAGACATCATGGTGGTAATGAAGGAAGATAATCTGATCGAGACACTTGACATAATATGAGATGTTTAGTCTAAGATGGTTGAATCTGGGAGATGGAAAGTACCAAATAAAGTTCTCAAAGAGAGAGGGTACGATGATGTCCAACCTACACGGCTGGGAGGGTACGATGATGTCCAACCTACACGGCTGGGAGGGTACGATGATGTCCAACCTACACGGCTGGGAGGGTACGATGATGTCCAACCTACACGGCTGGGAGGGTACGATGATGTCCAACCTACACGGCTGGGAGGGTACGATGATGTCCAACCTACACGGCTGGGAGGGTACGCTCACCTCCATGACCTGCCTCTCTCACCTCCATGACCTGCCTCCTTCACTACCATGACCTGCCTCTCTCCCCTCCATAACCTGCCTCTCTCACCTCCATGACCTGCCTCCCTCACCTCCATCTCCATGACCTGCCTCTCCAGCTTGAGGCACTTCTCCTCCAGCGTGGTCATGCGGGTGTCCTTCAGCGTCTCCAGGAAGCCCATCTTGCTGCCCACCGCGTCCTCCTCTGCCTTCATGTACAACCTGCAACATGATGTCACACTGGGGTCACTGTGCTTACATTAGGGGGTCAGGCTGGGGTCACTCTGTGCTTACATTAGGGGGTCAGGCTGGGGTCACTCTGTGCATACATTAGGGGGTCAGGCTGGGGTCACTCTGTGCAAGAGAAGAGAGAGAAGGAGGTGGTGAAGGAGACGGGGAGGTGGTGGAGCCGAAGGGGTTGGGTGTTGATGGTGTTAAGGTGTGGACTGGGACTGCCTCCTCCCTCCCTCTCCCGCCTCACCGGAAGGAAGACTTTAAGGGCCTCAGCTTCAACTGCCTGGACCGCTGCCGTGGCCGGCGGCTCCGGTCACACTAATTGATGGATCCCTCCTGCCTGCATCTCTTATACCTGCTCTCTTGTTCTCTGTAATTCCTTTTATAATTTTGCCCCGAGGGGTGAGTTAATTGAGCAGCGCCACTCATCCTGTGAGTGGACACACCGTCATAGTGACAGCATTGGGCAGCGCCACTCATCCTGTGAGTGGACATACCGCCATAGCAGCATGTACAACACTCCCCAATAGGAAGAAAACCCCACTGGGTTGTTCATCCTGGGTCCCAGCCAGCAGCGTCATCACTCGGGGGTCCAAACCAAACAACACACACCTGCAGTACCACCAAGACAAACCTGCAGCATCAATATGAAACAACTACAGGCACCAACAACACACCTGCAGCACCAACAACACACCTGCAGCACCAACAACACACCTGCAGCACCAATAACACACCTGCAGCACCAACAACACACCTGCAGCACCAACAACACACCTGCAGCACCAACAACACACCTGCAACACCAAACAACACACCTGCAGCACCAACAACACGCCTGCAGTACCAAACAACACACCTACAGCACCAAACAACACACCTGCACCATCAACAACAACACACACCTGCACCACCAACAACACACACCTGCACCACCAAACAACACACCTGCACCACCAAACAACACACCTGCCCCACCACCACCACCAACACACACCTGCAGCACCAAACAACACACCTACACCACCACCAACAAGATACCTGCATCACAACCAACAACACACACCTGAAGCACCAAACAACACACCTGAAGCACCAAACAACACACCTGCAGCACCAACAACACATCTGCAGCACCAAACAACACACCTGCAGCACCAAACAACACACCTGCAGCACCAACAACACACACCTGCAGCACCAAACAACACACCTGCACCACCACCACCAACACACACCTGCACCACTACCACCACCAAGACACACCTGCAGTACCAAACAACACGCCTGCACCACCACCGACAAGACACACCTGCACCACAAAACAACACACCTGCACCACCAAACAACACACACCTGCACCACCACCAAACAACACACACCTGCACCACCACCAAACAACACACACCTGCACCACCACCACCACTAAGACACACCTGCACCACCACCACCAACAAGACACACATGCACCACCACCACCAACAAGACACACCTGCACCACCAACACCAACAAGGCACACCTGCACCACCAAACAACACACCTGCACCACCACCACCACCAACAACACACACCTGCCCCACCACCAACAAGACACACCTGCACTACCAAACAAGACACACATGCACCACCAACAAGACACACCTGCACCACCAAACAACACACCTGCACCACCAAGCAACACACATCTGCACCACCACCACCAACAAGACACACCTGCACCACCAAACAACACACCTGCACCACCAAACAACACACACCTGTACCACCACCACCAACAACACACACCACAGCTTCATCACAGCTCACCTGAGTTTCTCCTCAAGAACAGCAATGTGGAAGTCCCTCTGCTTGAGCGCCTGGCGGGCGTGGGAGAGCTGCGTCTCCATGGCCACCAAGCGGTTCATCAGGAGTGCCAGCAGCTCCCTGTCGCTCGTCTTGCCCCCGCCGCCGCCACCCGCCACCTGGCATGGAGCCCCGCCGCCGCCCGCCACCTGACATGGAGCTCCGCCGCCGCCAGGATCTGCCAATAAAAAAAAGCATGAAGCCTCCTTTTGCGTACCTCAGACAGTCAGGAGAAGACTGGCTGCTTATAGAAGAGCTTCGGTTGTACTAGTTACAGTCACTAACACCAGGGTAATGCTGGTTACAGTCACTAGCATCAGGGTAATGCTGGTTACAGTCACTAGCACCAGGGTAATGCTGGTTACAGTCACTAGCACCAGGGTAATGCTGGTTACAGTCACTAGTACCCACTGTGCCCTCTACACCTAGAGCTTCAGGGGCACGAAAGGAACACATTATCCTCACAGTGAATCATACGCCTCAAAGTTAGTGAAAGCTTAAGCGTGTCTGCTTTAAGCTGAAGAATAACTGGGGGGGGGGTGATAGTGCATGCTGGGTAATGACAGTGAAACACCTCAGATAGATGATTTTCAACAGTTTAAAATGTGAACTATTATTTGTTTTGTTTTGGTTTGCAGCAGTGCACATTTCGCACACATGCTTCTCAGTCTGTGTGTGTACTATTTTTATGACGGCAAGTTATAATCCCTTAACCGCAAATCATCTCTTTTTTTTTTGTTTACCTTGTAGTGCACCTCCCCTCTTCCCGCCCCCCCCCTCACGTAACTCAGCAGAGATGTGAGGGCAGCAAAGCCCCTCCCCGCGTCCTGTGTGTCTGTCTGCTGTCCCCCCATTAACATCTGGGATGTTAATGAAACATCTGGGTTGGCCACCTTGTGCCAATTTTCTGATATTATATTTATCTTGGAGAATGGGTGGGAGGGAGGGGCTATGATATCTTCCTCACCGCCGGTCATGTAGGCACACATTACCACGTCTTATCTACCCGTCTGAGTGAGTCTGCATCAATGATGAACTTATTTCACCTGTTGACCAATCTACACACTAGAAAATGAAGGTACGACGACGTTTCGGTCCGTCCTGAATAATTCACAATCGACTTGAGCATGGTCCAGGACGGACCGAAACGTCGTCGCCCCTTCATATTCTAGTGTGTGGATTGGTCAACATACTTCAGCCACGTTATTGTGACTCATCGTCTGCACTTATTTCACCTGTTTGCAAAACTAAATGGATAAGTAACCTAAAAGATACAGAAAAAATAGGTTAACCACTTTTATGTTGACTAACCTTTGGCAGCGGCGTCGGGATGTCTGTGTTCCCTGCGGTGCCTGTGGTGGGTGGTGGGGGTGGGCGAGGGCGAGGTGGTGGTGGGCATCATGTCCGCGGGCAGGGAGCCCGTGTTCATGGCGTGCTGGGGCGGCGCCGCGTGCAGCAGCGGGTCCGACCCGCACCGGGCCAGCGCCGGGAACCCGTCCGCTCGCAGCCTCTGTGCTCCCCCCAACAAACATATCGTATTAAATATTAATATATATATAAATATTATGTATATTAATTCTAGTTAATTAATATTAATTATGGTTAAGGCTTGCAGGACTAAAGACAATCATCTTTCCCAAAAATCACAGCATCTCGTGGAATCAGAATTCTAATAAAAAAGAAAATATGCAAGACATCAAACATAGCGGAGTTACTGTTTTAAATATTACTGCAAGTAGCGTTTCGAACGGCGCAAGAAACACGTCACTCTTCCTCCCGTCTTGGGCGGAAGATGGAGTACGGGAAGTCTTCCCAGTGGTCATACATGTCTCTCTCCACACCTGTGTTACACATCCCGTGCTCACATATGACTCTCCACACCTGTGTTACACACCTCGTGCTCACATATGACTCTCCACACCTGTGTTATACACCTCGTGCTCACATATGACTCTCCACACCTGTGTTACACACCCCGTGCTCACATATGACTCTCCCCACCTGTTACACATCCGTGCTCACATATGACCCTATCCTCACCTATGTTACTTTGAGACAGCCTTTTACTCCAGCCGGGAAGATAGACCTTGTAACAAAAACAATTGAATTCCCTAGACCTTTACATCAGTCCTCGTCTCTAGTCACTCTACTGTGCTCTAGTACTATCCATCTACAAATCAAAACACACACGGACAATGTCCAACTATGATCATGTACCATAGTGAAATATGGCAATGCGTATCCGCAGAGTTATACAGGCGAAGTGTAACCTTACACTGACACCAGAGTAATACAGGCGATAACGAAAATAACAAGATTAAACAAAGTAATCGAATCTCTCGCAAATATACAAGAGCCTGGCCGCCACTAACATACAAGAGGAAGACTCCTGCTAACATACAAACGAAGAATCCCGCTAACATACAAGAGGAAGACTCCTGCTAACATACAAACGAAGAATCCCGCTAACATACAAGAGGAAGACTCCCACTAATATAGAAGAGGAAGACTCCCGCTAACATTCAAGAGGAAGACTCCCGCTAACATACAAGAGGAAGACTCCCGCTAACATACAAGAGGAAGACTCCCGCTAACATACAAGAGGAAGACTCCCGCTAACATACAAGAGGAAGACTCCCGCTAACATACAAGAGGAAGACTCCCGCTAACATACAAGAGGAAGACTCCCGCTAACATACAAGAGGAAGACTCCTGCTAACATACAAGAGGAAGACTCCCGCTAACATTCAAGAGGAAGACTCCCGCTAACATACAAGAGGAAGACTCCCGCTAACATACAAGAGGAAGACTCCCGCTAACATACAAGAGGAAGACTCCCGCTAACATACAAGAGGAAGACTCCCGCTAACATACAAGAGGAAGACTCCCGCTAACATACAAGAGGAAGACTCCCGCTAACATACAAGAGGAAGACTCCCGTCCTGACTAGCACTCACCTGGATGGTGGGAGAGAGGATGGGAGAGGAGCATCCCGAGTGGGGCCGGGAGCTGGAGCGTTTGGACGCCACGGAGCTGGTGGATCTGTAGGACCTAGCGATGTCAGTCAGCTGGCGGATCTGGTCATCAGAGAAGTCCGGATGGCGGAAGGGCAGGTTGCGCTTGCTGGGGACCACAACAACACAACCTAAGTTTATCTGGATTTTCACTCCAAATTACTTGGAAATTCCCGTTTATAAACGGGCGTTAGTTTCATCTTATGTCAGTCATTTAAGGCAAACGGACTGCATACATATCTAGTACAATTATATTACAACGTGCGTCAGGGGGTAGAGGCACAATCAAAATCAATTAGAACCTCAAAAATGGCTAGTGCCGGACCTACTGAGGCCAAGCCCCCTCCCACCCCCACCCCCCTCCCGAGGCTTCACAGTCGGCCGGATGTCAATAAAATGCAAAATCACATTGCAATTAATTATTTCATAGCCGGCTATTAAACATTAATGATTGTAAGTATTATTAAAAATCTCGAGTCGTCTTTGGCTGGAGACAATAAATTCACAACGCTAAATGAACACAAACTTAAATCTTAAGAAAGAACACCTGCTACATTTATTTGTACACAATTTAACGCATTTGAAAGGTCAGAAAGATTTGAGAAACATGTTTGAATGGACTGAAAATATTGGAATTAATGTTCCAATCCAATTTGGGTCGAGAAAAGGCATTTATTGATAATTTTCATAAATTAATTTTTTCAGATTTGTAAATTATTTACTGAATAAAACATGCATGTATGAACGTAAAGTAATACATTTGAAATATTTTTATAAAAAAGTATGTATTCATGGCTGAAAAAATATACATTTATGAACGAACATTGAGAATATTTAGTTTATAGAATTGTGGGATGAAGGAATTAGTGCCTGGGCGAGGGACCTTACCCTGATGCTTGAGTCTTGTGGGCGGTGGAGAGGGGCTTCTGAACCTGCCCCATCCTCACACCCTGCTCCCTCTGGCTGTTGCTGCTGCTATTGTTTCTGCTGCTTCTGCTCCTGCTGTTGCTGCTGCTGCTATTGTTGCTGCTGCTGCTATTGTTGCTGCTGCTGCTGCTGCTGCTGCTGCTATTGTTGCTGCTGCTTCTGCTGCTGCTGCTATTGTTGCTGCTGCTGCTGCTGCTGCTGCTGCTGCTGCTGCTGCTGCTGCTGCTGCTGCAGGATAACCTTTATTCTTTCACCGTGTTGATATTATCTCCTTCATTTCCCAGTACGTTTATGACATACACTGTTTCCCAGAATGTTTGTGGCACACTTATGTTTCCCAGGACGTTTGTTGCACACTTATGTTTCCCAGGACGTTTGTTGCAGACTTGTTATCGGTACTATTAATTTTCTTGGACGTTTTCCTTTCATTAATTTATGTCTGAAGAGCTATTTTTCCTCCACTCACAAACTTTGTGTTTCTTACACCACAATTTTAGATTATGCAGTTTAGGTTTGGTGGCCGCGCTATATAATGGAGAGAGATGCATTTGAACGTGTACAGAGATGGACGCCAAAGATAACGACTTTGATAACGAAATATCCCGTACGAAGAATGGAATGGAACTATCAGGGGAAAGCGCCCAGCCATTACGATAGTATAGCACTAGGAAGGGATCAGGATAAGGATTTGGGAATGGACGGAGGGACAGGAATGGTGACAAAGTAGCTGGCTGGTGAAAGACTAAAGAATAGTTAATTTACACACACACAGTACGAGGCGACGTTACAAAGAATATACTGTACACGGATCAAAGTGTTCTACACAAAAGGAATATTGATCATATTCTTTCTCTCACGCTTTCCTGCGTGTTCTAATTTGTGTTGATATATTTACTCTCCAAAAATATTATTATTATACAGTAAATATATATATACATATCAACACAAAGCAGAACACGAAACACAGGCTGCGCACCGGATAGGTTTAGAGTCAGGAGAGACCTGGGTAAATACTGGTTTGGGAATATTGTTGTTGATTTATGGAACAGAGTGCCGGGTAATAGACGGCGGATCGTTGGATTGGTTCAAGGCTAACCCAGACACACACTAACACAATATGAGTGAGTTTGAGTGCATATGAGTGGGAAAGCGTTGTCTTCGTGGTGGAGGGGTTGGATGGGGGGGGGGGAGGGGGTGTAAGAACGGAGATGCTGAGATGAGAAGATTAAGGAGGCTGGAGATGGTGATGGCACAAGACTGTTGCAGTGTTTAGTGAACGTATGAGGGCTCTTAGTGTTTGTCTTTGAGGTCGTTGTTAAGGGAACAATTGACACACACACATACACGGGGGGGGGGGAGCAGACATGGTCGCTGGAGACCATACGGAGTTAATAGTGAAGATGAACACGGGGGGCATCATACTAGATGTAATAATCAAATCATAAAAAACCAAGACAATTGGTGCGGCGATGGCATTGAGTGTTAAGCTGTGTGTACTCACCTAGTTGTACTCACCTAGTTGTGCTTGCGGGGGTTGAGCTGGCTCTTTGGTCCCGCCTCTCAACTGTCAATCAACTGGTGTACAGGTTCCTGAGCCTACTGGGCTCTATCATATCTACATTTGAAACTGTGTATGGAGTCAGCCTCCACCACAACACTACTTAATGCATTTCCATTTGTGTGTGTGCGTGTGTGTGATTAGTATGACGGCGCTCTCCACACACTCATGGGAGGTCGAGCGGGTACTTGAGCGGGTATCTAAGCGGGTACCTGAGCGGGTATAACCTGAGTTACTGACCGGCGCCTGTGCGGCTAGAGGAAGGAGTGACGGGGGCGCAAATATGTGAAGGTATCCCAAAATTACAGAGTTAATGAGCACGGTAGTTAATGAGCATGAATAATGAATTGATAGCAAGTGCTCGCCTTGCCCGCGACCCGCGGCTACGAATCAATACCAACTTAAGGAAGTTGGGACACCAGGAGCACCCGAGACGCGCCCCCCCCTCTCCCCCCAGGCTCTTGTGACTCTCGTGCCTGTTGTGTCTGGCTTCAGAGATTTAAAACTAAATATAAATCTATTGCTGGTAGTCACCGGGGGAAGGGGGGGGGGGCGGACATAACTACACAAGTCGTTTTTCAATTGCATAATTCGCTTGCCAAGTGTGAAGGTCGCCCTGTTTAGCAATGATTATTAGCAATGGGCGGGGGGTCGGACGGACGGGTGGACGAGCCGGTTGGCTGGTTTGGGTCCTAGTACTACTACTCTTCTTGAAGGACCTTCAGTGTGCGTGTGTTGTCTGGCGGTGTCTCATTTGCTCTCTGGTCTGGCGGTGTCTCACTCCGTGTGTGTTAATGTGTCTACCATCTCTCCAAGTGTGAGTGTCTCTCAACACCTGTCCCCGGGTGTGTATCTGTTGTCTTGTCAGCCTGTAGTCAAATGTTTGAGGCTGAGGGGTCGTGCTGTAGCTCCTGGCCACCGCCTATCCAGCTGTCGGTCCTTTAATTATATCACTCTTTAATATTAGTACTCATTAATATTAGTAATATATATCCATCTCATTTTAAAAACATAAGAATTGTGAAAACACTTGGCTTCTACTGTTTATATCGGCCTAAACTCAACCATATAGGTGTCTAGCCTACGCTTGAAACAATCAGGTTATCCCACGTACACTATGTTACCCAGGAATCTGTTCCACAAATCAACCACCCTATTTCCCAGTCAATATTTACCCAGGTCTTTAGGTCTTTCCGAAATAATAATAATAATAATAATAATAATAATAATAATAATAATAATAATAATAATAATATTTTATTTAGGAAAAGTACATACATAGATGCAGAGTTACAAACATTCTGATTAATTTAAAGATAGAGGTAGTACATACAATACCTAAAGCCACTAGTACGCAGAACGTTTCAGGCAAGGTCGAATCTAAACTTATCCAATTTATATATCCATTGTTTCGTGTTTTATTTTGTATTCATGATACCTTATTTATATCCCCTCTTTTGTGGCGCTCATCTGTTGTTGAGCGCTTATACTTGTTGAGCGCCTCTACTTGTTGAGCGCCTCTACTTGTTGAGCGCCTCTATTTGTTGAGCGCCTCTACTTGTTGAGCGCTTCTACTTGTCACTCATTGAGCCCGGCCCCACCACCTGTTGAACCCGGTCCCACCACCTGTTGAACAGTTTACACTGTGCAGCATCACTAAGAGTACTCAGAGTATGGATGTGTATCAGTGCTATACCGACAGCTCTGTAGAAGAAGGTGGACGATGTACCGGATGTGCATGTAATATATTTGAACAATCTTCTCTCGTACATACAGCAATGAAGCGCGTCAATGACTGGACAAGTACAACTCAAACCGAACTTGCAGGCATATACCTTGCCACTGAAGTTTTAAAAGACAAAGGCAGTGGACTTATATACTGTGACTCGCAGAGTGCACTCCTGGCATTGAACGCTCATAGTAGTGACACCCAGGAAATAGTCAGTGATATTCGAATGAATGTTTTAGCTGCTAAAGAAAACAGATTTGAAATTAAATTCCTATGGATACCATCACATGTTGACATCTTAAGGCATGACACTGTTGATATGCATTAATGCAAATTAATGACACTATGTAAAGAACACATCGACCACTTTAAGTTGGGTAGACATAACTCTGTGCATCTATGTATTTATGTCTGTAGGTTAGATTAGCATTTTAAAAACACTACAATCACCTTCTGTGGTTGATTGTTCAACAACTCCCTGAACTATATGTTTAACACATCTCTCACTCTGTCCATGGAGGACAGAAGAAAATGTATATATATATGCTGGTTAGCATTGTAAATGTCTGGCCACGTCTGTGGTAGAAAATAATAATAATAATAATAATAATAATAATAATAATAATAATAATAATAATAATAATAATAATAATAATAACCGCTTGTTGAGCTCCCTCTACAACCACTTGTTGAGCTCCCTCTACAACCACGTGTTGAGCCCCCAGCACCTAGCCGAGGTCAGACGCTCCCAGCCAGGTGAGCGAGACACCGCCTAGCACAGTAGGCTGCACTCTGCGCCCACACTCATACTTTTGTGCGAAAACAGTATTGATCGCCAGCAATGAGGTGGCCCTCCTGGCGGTCGAGCCTCCTCATCACCGAGTACACGAGCTTG